TTAAAGCCAGCCTTTATAATCTGCCTCAACGCCTCTGACATGCACCATCCTGGTCTGCCATTCTGCACTCTGCTCCAGGTACCCTTGCTGTTCTTCCGCCTCCGAAACAGGCCTGACCACCTCCCTATTCCTCCTGCCTGAAACATTTCTCCATCACCTTGATACACTTGCTTAAACTTCACAATCTCAGCGAAACCTGTTCTAATTAAAAACATAATACAGGGGTGGGGGATTGCTCAGCCCTTAAAGTACAAGCAAGTGCAAGCAAGGGTTCAGTGAAACCACAGAACTAGCCCACTCCACCGGTAGAAAGGCTTCTTGAGGACCAAAAAGCAAGCAGATTTTATGAGTCAACAGGGTGAAGGTTTTAAAGTGATACTGGTTGTTAGGACTGACAGGGAATTAAGTGCCCTTGCTGGAGGTGGTTGACCTTTGGGGAAAGGTTAAGGCTGGTCTCTTACAAAAGAACCCCCTTAAAGGGACTTGCTTTTCTAGTAAACAAACGTTTCTAGTAACAACCCTTCTTCACCCAGCCAAAGTCCTTCACCCAGACAATGCCACCAGCACTGCCATTTTGGGGTGCCACTTTACACCTAGAAGTAAGAAGGTTGAAGTTTGGAATCCTAGCAGCCATGTAAATTCTGAGTGGGTATGATGGCAGGTGATTCCAGCCTCAGAAGGTAGAGACCAGGGATCTCTGGAGCAGGCTGGCTGGCTAGACTTGCCATAACTTCAGATCTGGGACTAAGGGACCTTGCCTCCAAAAGAATAAAGCTGAAGAGTGCTTTAGAACATCAACCTTGAACCTCTACCTGCATGGACATGCATGAGACCCTACATACACAAGCATACATACATACGTGTGTGTGTGTGTGTGTGTGTGTGTGTATACCCATTCACATCATGCACATGCATTAAAAGAAGAAAAAGAAAAAAAAAAAAGCAAAATCTAGTCTACTTCACAACCACCTAGCTGCTTAACTTGGGTGGTTACAACCTATGCCTCAAGCCAGTTTTGGCCACCTGTCCTCAATAAGCCAATTAATAGTCAAATTAATTTTGGAAAGCAGAAACATGTATTCAATGTAGCCACACTGGCAAGAGGGACAAAGAAACAGCAACTCCCCTAAATGCATCTTAGTATCCAGAAGACAAAGATAAACGCTAAAGATCCACACAACCAAGTAGTCAAGGCCAACGTGTGGTCCTGCCCACCCTGATCCATTATCTGGGTTTCAGTCTCATCCTGTAGGGTGGGCTGGCATGTTGCCAGAACTGTGGATTCTGTGTAACAAGTTCTCCCTCTGGCTGGGATCTTCTCTTTCTCCTAGTAGATTCCTGGGGAAATTTTCATTTCTTTGGGGTTCATTGTTCCAACAGTGTGACAGAATGAGTCGCAGGTGTCCCTTTAGAGAATCTCATTTCTCCCAGGCCGGAACTTGCCCATCTTCACAGTTACACAACTGTCCTAACCTAGCAAATAAATGATGTCAGTTGTTTCTTATGTCTGCCCCCCCCTCAATGTTTGAACTCAACTAGGGCTTTGGGTCATGAATGTGCTTCAGGCTCAGAACAGCTCCGTGATTATTAATCCTGACAGTTAGATGGGGTTTAGAATCACCATGGTGACAGACCTCTGTGACTGTCCATGAGGGAGTTTCTGAATTAGGTGGGAAGACCCACCCTTCATGTGGGATGGCAGCATTTTCATGGACTGGGGTCCTGGACTGAATGAACGGAAAAATAAAAGTAAACAGCAGTGTTCTTTGCCTTCTGTTTCCTGGTAGACTGTGACCAGCTGCTTCATGATCTTGTCACCATGCCAAGTTACAAGGGACGGCAGGTAATGTCAAACCCTGAGTCACAATATACTTGTTCTTATGTTGCTTTTAGCAGGTATTTTGTGGCAGCAGAAGCAATGAACACAAAGGCTTTGTCAACAGTAGGTATGTAGTATTTATTGTGTAGATTAGGACCCTAAGGCAGTTTAGGGTCAAAGGTTCACTTACCGTTGAAGCCTCATTAGCCTTCACACTGAGCAGTGGACAGCAGTGGTAGCTGGAACTTCAGGGATGAGGGCTAACAGAGGTCACTGTCGGCCCGCAATGGAAAGAGAGGTCTAGATGTCCCCCTTGCTTGGTGAGCAGTTATTTTAATTGGTCATAATTCTTTCCTTGGAAAGTTGTCCCTTCCCTCCTTCCATTCAAAGGGCTTGATGTACAGTGTTAAGACTTACTGTGGGAATTAGCTAACTATAACCAAGTATAATTGGTTAACTATAACTTGCCGGTGGTTCCAGTAAGAGCTTAGTTATCATATAGTTCCAGTTACACGTAAGAGGTGAGACTTTATAGACTTCCTCGCCATTGGTGTTGAGTGCCCTCTAGGGCTGTTCAACTTGTCTCCCTTACCCGTGGTCCTGGGGATGAGACATGGAAGGTACCACTCAGGCCCTGGACTCCACATGTGTCTGCCCTTTGACAGCTGTTTCTTTGCCTCTCACAGTGTTCATCTTCCCTACTGAGATCAGGCCTACGGTGACAGCAGCATCCAACATCCCCCACCTCCACAGTCCAGCCCCTACAGAGAAAATTCCACCCTCAATGCTGAAGCGGAAGACACATTTTTTTGGGGCTTTGGGAGAGAAATAATTGAAAGGTGGGCAAATATGTCTATTCCAATGCTTTTCTGTATAAGGCTTTTGATTCTTCAATATATCTTGAATTCTGGTATTCAGATTCAGGTAGTTAGGGAAGCAACTAAGCTTAGGTTTCAGTTGATCATGTATTCATATGGTTAGAGCCCTTCTGTCTTAGCCAGTGTTCTATTGCTATGATAAGATACCATGACCAAGGAAGCCCTTATAAAATAAAGCTCTTAATTGGGACTGGCTCACAGTTTCAGAGGTTTAGTCCATTATTGTCATGGTGGCATACAGGAGATCATGGTGTTGAGAGGTGGCTGAGAGTTCTATGCCGGGATCCACAGGTAGCAGGAAGAGAAAACCATTGGGTCTGGCTTGGGCTTTTGAAACCTCAAAGCCCACTCCCAATGTCATACTTCCAACAAGACCACACCTCCTAATCCTTCTCAAGTGTCACTCCCTGATGACTAAGCATTCAAACAGATGGTCCTATGGGGGCCATTCTTATTCAAACCGCCATGCCTTCCCAGGTCCCCATTTCCATTATAGATACAGAGGCCTATATTAACTGCATCAATTGCAACAGATCTAATTTTGGACCAAAATTAAATTTTGGTTAAGATCGAACAGACCCCCTTCCGCCCCATTTTTGTCTATCAATTAGCAATCTTCAGAGTTCTGCTGCACAAGCCCTCTTCTCCCCAGGTCCCAAGGCTGCTGGGTTCTGTCTTCAGTTGAGGCCCTAGAAGCCACAAGGCATGAAGAACACCTGCTAATGAATGTGGGCTTGCTCAACAGGAGCACCCAGAAGCCTGAGTGGGGTTGAGGGAGGTGAGTCATCCATGTCTCCATTCAGGTCTAAGGTCTCTCCTCTCCTCATCATATACTAACTTCTTCCACCTACGAGACCCAGCTAGGCTGTGAATTCAACTGATATAACGTGGTACCTCACAGGCTCCCATTCTGAGTTTGCTCTTTTGCTGCCTCAGTCCAATGATGACCAGAAGGGGCTGTCTTCACATAATCCTGGGCAATTCCCAGCATCCCCGGCCTTCACCAGCCCATGTTTCTCAGCTCCGCACGGGTGGCATTTTGTTATGAGTGTCTGTTCTATGCATTGCTGGATGCTTCACAGTTCCTTGTTTTTATTCATTAGACTCCAGTTTTCTCTCTCTGCCTCCTAAGGTGGCAGCCAGAAAGTCTGAGGACATTGCCATACGTCATCTACAGACAAAAGTTGCCCATGGCTGAGACCATTGCACTGGCTCAAGGAGGGACTATGCAAACCTGAATGTCAAGTTCTGTTATTAACAAAAGCTACTCCACAGAGCTGGTGTTCCTCAGGGTCTTTACGCAGCCCAAGGTAGTCGGTAAGCAGAGGAGCAATGGATCGTTTCACTACCAAGACCTGCCACCAGCTTGCTACAATGCTATCTATAACCTGTTTTTCACCCAGCCAGGCTGTCCAACCAACAACACACTCACATTTCTGGGGGCCTTTTGTCCCTAAGTGTCTAGTTCCATATTAGCATCCTAGTTGCTAGCAAGCAATCTGGAGTTTGAGCGAAGGCAGAACGTATTCAAGCATGTTAGCATGCAGCATTACAAATTCACCCAGCAAAGCCAGAAAGCCAGCCTAGGAGCTAAAACTCCAGGGCAGGGATGTTTTGACAAAGACTCCCTTGATGCTGCTGCTGTTGCATGCGTGTACACACAGACACACACACACACACACACACACAGACACACACACAGACACACACTTTGTACTAGTCAATGTATTTTCATGGGGGTGGAGCTAGAATAAACACCAGACCCTACTTGAAAGGCAAATTATGGCGGAGATGAGAATCACAGACAGGGAATTCCTAAACATAGAAGGCTGCTCAAATGGTGTCAAACCTGACAAGAAGTAGTTAGTATATAAAAGGTCAAATAAGAAAATATATGTTCACTACCTTTCAATTTCCCTTTCTCAATCAGCAAACACAAGATACACGTTGACTCTCTACAGAGGAAGTAAGGAAACAATCCATTAAAGCCTTTTCAAAAAAGCAAATTCCAGGGGCTAGAGAGATGGCTCAGTGGATAAGAGCGCTTGCTGCTCTTGCCGAGGACCTGGATTTAGTTGCCAGCACCCACACGACAGCTCACAAGCACCTGTAACTCCAGTTCTAGGGGACACGATGCTGTCCTCCAGCAACACTACACACATGCACACCTACACCAGGTAGGCACTCATACATAGACATGAAACAAAAACAAATGGTTTAAAAAAGCAAAATGCATTTTCATCATGCTGAGGAATTCCAGCTTACTGTTATTATCTGATGTTTTACAAAATATGAGTCATCAATAATGGCAAATAAAAATTATTTTCATTTCAATGGAGAAGCAAATTATAGGTTAAAAATAAAGTTTAATATGTAAAAAAAGTTACACATAAAAGGTTTCTCATTTCTAAAAGTTTGATTTCTGGCATGAAGCAGTTTTCAGACAGAATCTTCAAAATCTTCACCAAGTGCTCTTTGTCACGAACACTGAGTCCTGGAGAGCAGGAAGCCTTACTCAACAAGGCTGTTCCTTAGCTGCACCCTCTGCAGAGGCTGTGCACTCGGGCTCTGGGGCTCTGAGGAATCCTGAAGATGGGGGGATTCCTGAAGGGCTGCCATCTGCTGATGTGCTTCCGGCTCATGGTATCCAGCTGGTGACAGTCCAGAAGCACGCACCTTCTTATATTTACATATGAATGCATCTGTTTTTCCAAGGCTAACTTTGAAGCACTCCACTGGCACCAGGGAGCCACAGGGCAACACTCTGCTCGGGCACTGGGAGCTACTAGTTTTACGTGAAGGAGATGCTGTGCCTGATGCGCCAGTTCTTTTGTCAGGGTTCATCTCAGGGTCAGTGATGTTGTCTTGGGATGTTAGAGGAATGCCGTTGCCTCCACAGTCTCTAAGGTACCTGTGGTGATCCTCACTGAGCAGCAAGACCATGGCTCCACCATCACACAGCACTCTGACAAAAAATGGTAATTGGAATGAGTATTTCTTTCTTCTGAAACAACAAACAATCCTGATTTATTTAAAAATAGTTGTTAATCTGAAATTTAATTTCATCTATTTAAATACAAGGGTTTTGATAATTAGGTAGCATCTTCTATAATGCATATTCATTATAGTAATTATGGAATCTCTAGTACAAATCTGCTTTAATTATCTATTTTTGCTCTACTTAAAAGGCAAGCTTCAAAGTAATTTGTAGTCACATTCTAACAAACGATTGTATAATGAAGAAGGTGAACGGTAGCATCCTATGGAGTCAGCATATTCAAGAAAGCACAGGCCGAAGACAGAAGTCACCAGGGAGGAGTTGGGCATGAACAAAGGGATGATTAAGAAAAGACTTCATAAAGGGAAAACCCTGAAACTCTGACTTTTGAGAGTTTCTTTCCTCAGTCATTCCAGTGCTGCCAGTGCCACAGCACGAGTGACTAAAGGACCACAGCAGTGAGGGCCAGGAGCAGGCAGAGACTGAGGCTCGGGAGTGACAGCAAGGGGCCAAGGCTGGGAGGCAGTGGTTCACCCTGGTGGAGGACCTGGAAAGAGGGAGCAGAGCTCACTCTGGAGTACAATGCCACTCTGAGTAACTGCCAAGGGCCAGCTGGGGGTTCTGAGACCGGTGAGACAGGAGGTTTAATGATAAAGCCACAGTGGCTGGGACCATCCAGGTGGCAGCAGGCTAAGAAGGACGCAAAGGCAGTGAGCAGGGACGTCACCTGCAAGGAAGGGCCATGGGAGAGAGCCAATAACCCGCCTCTGCTGTTCTGTTTGCCTCTGCTAGCTCTCCACTTAACACACATTCCCTTGTGTGCTTTCTCATTCTCCAGGCCCCTAGAACTCTACCTCTGTGGAGACACAAGCATCTCTTGACTATGCCTAAGGTGGTATCCTGTCTTATTCCCCCACTGCAGCATGATCGGAAACACTGCTGTGTGTACCATCATGCCACTGACAGGAGGGACCTCACCTGTCTCTGTCCACGGCTGTTCCCTCATGACCTAGTGCAGGACACAGGACATTCACAAGCATCTCAGGAAAGGATGGCTGAGTCACTTAGAAAGAACAGGGAGATAAAATGGCTCAAGACAAGAGAGGAAAGTGGGCAGATTATAGTTCTTGGGGAAGGGACTGGGAGAGGCAGCCTGGATGGAGGGGAAGCCACACCTATACAGACAAGGTAGGAGAAGGTCCGCTGTGGCTGTATGCCGGAGACAGAAACAAGAAAACTACAAATATCTCCAAATATATAAA